TATATATATATATAAAAAAAAATGCATACCTACTATAAACACGTGGTTTTCACTTTTCAACGTACATTATAGAATTTTATGTGCAAAGCATAATTCAAAAAAATACAAACAATTTTGGGTCACATGATTTTTCAACCCAATTGTGTAGATTTTTTTGCTGAAAAAGTACTATTTTTTTTTATAGTCAGCCACAGTATCTGGACTATGTCCTGACTAATTTGTTGGTCGGCTCAAATCGAACACCTGACAGTGGTGGGTGAGTCTCCCAACAAAAGTTTTCTGCATCCACAAGGACTCGAACCCGAGACCTTTCTTAAGCGGCATCAAACTGCTTACCACTTGAGCCAACCCATATTGATGCTCAAAAATACTATTGACTTGTAATACGAATGACTTTCTATGCCAGACACATGTTCCATATTACTACAATTCAAAGTTGGAAAAAAAAACAACAAACATAAATTTCCAAAGGTTGACTAGTAGCTAATTCAGTCCATACACGTAAATAGAACAAAAGAAAAATCTTCAGACTCCACATTTATATAAATCAAGAATCAGTCCTAGAAATTACAGCTAAAAAATAAAAATAAAAATAAAAAAAGAGAACTAGAAAGCATATTACTAGCAAGCAGAAGACAAATCCCAAGCCATAAAAAATGGAGAAAACAAGCAACAATAGCTTGAAGCTTGTAGGCTTTTGGGCCAGCATATATGCTCAGAGAGTGAAATGGGCACTGAAACTGAAGGGCATAGAGTACCAATACATAGAAGAAGATATATTCAACAAAAGCCCTCTGCTTCATCAGCTCAATCCTGTCTATGGAAAAGTCCCTGTTCTCGTTCTTCATGATGGAAAATCACTGCCAGAGTCCCCAATCATACTCGAATATATCGACGAAACGTGCACCGATCACCCGTTGTTGCCCCGCGACCCTTACGAAAGAGCCCGGGCCAGGTTTTGGGGTAGATTTGTGGATGAAAAGGTAATAAAATCTATGCACACAAACCTCTTCCTTTCTTCTTCTTCTTCTTTTATTTTTTATTTTATTTTTTTTTTTGTTATTGGATATGAATTTGATTGATTTTTTTTTTTTAAACCACATTTAATTTTTGAAACATGTAGTGGTTAGTTGTTAGTGAGTATATTACAAGATTATTGAAAATAAAAATAAAGTTGATTTGATGTTAAAGTATGAAAAAAATTATTGACTGATGATTAGCTAAAATTATGTAGGTGGATGAATAATAAATTAAAGTCGATGTAATGTGTAAAAATGATTAATTGATATTATTTAATTATATCGATTATATGGAATATAGTAGAGCTGAGTTAAAGTTGAGTTAAATTTGGGTTTTGATTGATTTTTTTTACTGTTCCCTCAGTGTTTTTTTGTAAGTTGGGTTAATTTTGATGGTTAATTGCAGAAGTTACTTTAACTAGCGTCCGATCATGTGCACATGCACAGTTGCAAATAAAATTTTATATGTTAGATGTATGTGTATGTAATATTTTAATCATAAGTTAAATGATGAGCATATCACATTTTATAAATTTTATCATTATTAAAAATGAACGAATAAACATAAACTATTAACTTACACATTAATCTTTATATCGATTGCGGTTATATAATTTTTGTAATCTTTTTTTAATTATGAAGAATTGATCAGATAGAACAATATTAAAATTATTGAATTGTGTACGAAATTTTAACAAGTTTGGTTATATCATAAAAATTAAATAACTAATATTAATAAAAAAAACTTGCTTAATGAGTTACAACAAAAAATAAATTAAATAAATAGTTTGAAGAAAAAAAATAATTATAGTATCATTGAATTGAATGTGACTTCTGAAAAAAAAAAAAAAAGAATTGAATGTGACTTTATGATTTGCTCGTAGTAGTTATTATATAATTAGGCACCCACCATGATTACATACTTGAAATTAGCTTTTGTTTTACATGTCTAAATGTGAGTTGTCTCGCATTGATTCTATAGGGAAAATGAGCCTAGTATATAAGTCAAATGGGCTACTCCTCCCATCACCAATTGGTTTTGGGATGGAACCTCACTATGGTGCACCTAGGCTCACCCTATTATGGTGCGCTTAATATGCGTGGGACCGCACCCTCTTGCCCCGATACTCTTATCTTACACAACTTGTAGAATATTAATGAGAAATAATTTTGAGTTTGTGAGAATATTAGTTCATTCAACAAGTCCACTTATATAAAACGTCGTTGAGCTATGATATTTCTTTCAATGTGATAGATTTAAGGATATGTTACTATTACATTCTTCGCCTTTGGTGTCAGGTTGTGGAATCAACGTGGCTTGCTCTTTGTTCAGAAGGCGAGAACCAGGAAAAAGCGGTGAAAGTAGCTATCGAGGCCCTTGGGAAAATGGAAGAAGAGCTAAATGGGAAAATCTTCTTTGGAGGGGACACGATTGGGTTCTTGGATTTAATAATGGCATTTGTTTCGTACGTGTTGCCCGTCTGGGAGGATATCGCCTCCGTGAAAATCCTCGACCCTGTGAAGTTTCCAGGATTAACTGCGTGGATGGGTAACTTTATCAATCATCCTGTGATTAAGGGTGATTATTTGCCACCCAGAGCTGCTGTATTCGACTATTTTCGGGGGAGACGTGAGCAGTTAATCTCTGTTTATGCCTCTTGTGATGTGGATCAGTGGATGCAGTCTTGAGCAAACGCAGGATATGAAGATGAAGATAAAATTCAATAATTTGAGTCTAGAAAGTATTAGTTTACTGCAGAACCTTTTTTGTGTGAAACATTTTCAAGGAAAAACAATATGTATGCTTCAACTCATGTATCCTTTTGTCTCTCGTATTTGAGATTTAAGTACTTTTAAGTTTTAAGAGAGTATGCGTTGTTTTTGTTTCTGTGGAGACTTATGGATATGTAGAGGCGGCCAAAACACGTGCCGGCCCAAGAGTTACGATATGTAGAGCCGGCCAAAACACGGGTTGGGCCCGGGCACGGCCCAGTCCAACGGTCCGACGGGCTCAGAAATCATGGACTTGGAACAAGCACGGACCTCGGCTCATGCCGCGTGCATGGCTTGGCGGGCCGTGCAGGGCTTGGGGCCGTCAAGATGAAAAAGAAAAGAAAAAATAAAAAAAGCAAACAAAGTATTTGTTTTTTCCTAGGCAGGCTCGAATCCGTCCCAGCCCATCGGGTCAGGGTCAAAAACAAGATCCTAGACCACTAGTCCGAGCCGAATCTGCCGGGCGGCCAGTGGTCATGTCTAACGATGTGGTTGATGAAAATGACAGAATAATAAGTGCATGAATTTATGTTGGAATTAACTTTAGGCAAAAACTATATTAATTTAATTGCTTTCATATTGAAAAATTAAGAATTATAAACAGATAGTGAAAGCGTACCTAAATCTAAAGACGAATGATTTAGGAATCTAGTGTTCTATGTCTACGCATACATAATCCTTTCAGACGACCCATTAGCTTTCTATGTAAATTGTATGTCAATGGGATGCAATAGAGTATACATATGTGTTGACTTGAGAATTTGGCCTTCCAGTTCTACACGTACGTCGGAGCACCCTTAACCTTTTTCCTTAAGCTCTTCGTCAGTGAGATACAAAAAGGTATGGGATAGATATATAACGATCACAACACTTTATATTAAATTAAGTCATTGACTACTCTTATTTAATGTATCATTAAAACAGAGAGACTCATTAGTCTCTAAACTTTAAAGGCTCTCATTTTATTGATCACATTTATATTGAACCTAAGTTATCTAATCTTATGGGGAGACCTTATTTAACACTTTTTAGGGTTCCTGTTGCAACCTATAAATAAATCAAACAGTCTCATAAAGTAGTACATAATCAAGTTCTCTCAATCTAAGAAAACACGCTAGTATGTATGAGTGAGGAGAGAGAAAGGGATTGCAAAAGTTTTAAGAAAGAGAGAGAAACATAGTGTTTTCCAAACGCAAGGTTGACATCCTTTTTTTTTCTAAAAACTGATCAATTAAGGTTTACCAGAGAAAGTTTGATAGTCGTCGCCACTAAAAGACTATGTGGATGTCTCATTCTCTTGGCAATCAACTCAAAATCATGTCACCCTAAAAGAGCAAAAAATGTGAGATGAGAAAGATATGCCTGGCTCGCGAGCTCCAAAGAATAGCATCCCACCCTACTTGAAAGCGAGGTGTTAGGATTACGGTAGAATACTTCAATGTTCCTGAATGCTTAAATTTTTCGTGTACCGTTTGTAAACAATAAATGGTATGGTTAATTATATTTATTAAATCCACTGTTGTATGCAATTAGAACATATTTATATCCAACGTTCTTCACTGAACTCACACAAAAACCAACCATAAAGAAAGTATCACGTATACTTGTTGTAAGATACAACAAACTACCTCTCACGATTTCGTGACAATTGATGTATCTTCACCAATCTTGAGAACAGAAAATGTCTAACTGACTCGTCTCACCTGAATCCTTTATCAAATTAAGAACTTGGTCAGTCGCTCGTACTACATGTGTGGATCTTGTATAAGTCGGTATAACGCTTTTTAAATTTTACACCTAATTAGGATGATTTTTGGTCAGCAAAACCATTAGGTTGTTTCATCTATCCAACAAAATCGTTCAAGAATATGGATTTGATGTCCATCGAATACACAATGAAACAAATTAGACAAGCAATGGACATAAAATACACGAACCAAGTCAAGTCTAGCAACGAGAACGAAAGTCTTATCAAACTCAATTCCTATAGCTTGGTTGTAGCCCTTAGTAACTAGACGTGCCTCTCAGTTCTATTATATTAGCTGGAGTGTAAGGTATTTAGAGTGGACAAATAAGCGCGCCAAATTCGCATCCCAAACTCTTCCTAAACTCCTCTCTCTCTCTCTCTCTCTCTCTCTCTCTCTCTCTCTCTCTCTCTCTCTCTGATGATTTCAAACTGTGCAAGCCCCATTTCACGTTAATTTCCCCCCACAAATATCATGATTTTGCTCAGATTCTCTATCTCGCCGTTGATCGCCGGCGAATTTTAAGTCGATTGATTTTTCCTTTGGTCTCGACCGTCTCACAGTTTACCGGCCAATTCAAGTGTGAAGCAAACAGAAAATCCGAGATCGAGTTTGATATTCAGTTTGGAATTCGGTTGATGATTGGGCACGAAAGATTAGCGGGGCGGCATCATCTATGAAGACTATGCGGATGGTTGGGACTAAAAGTAGGTTTCTTCGGTGGATACCTAAGGTTTTTTTTTTTTCAGATGGAATGGCAGATCCTGCTAGTTATGGCAACCCTGATCGCGACATTGACCTGGTAAACCCTCTTTGTCTGACTATGTTCAATTCAATTATGACAAAAAATCGTGGGATTTATCGTTGGTGTGTGTGTGTGTGTGTGGGTACGCTGGATTGATGATGTTGTCTATACTATCGTCTATGTATCATTGATGTTCTTTACTTTGAGTTCAACTAAAATAATGGAACAGTTGATTGTTGGCTTCTGGATAAAGGATACTAACTCGTAATTTTGTTAAAAGTTCATTTTTCTAGCTTCGGAGATTGTTCGACGAATACATGATTCTTGTTCCTTTAATATGTATTCTGGCATAAATATATACCATTTTAGCAATTTTGCTTGTAAAGATTCTTTTACTTTTAGAGTGGATACTTAAAAATATACGGAAGTTCTTTGGGTGTTAACAGGACTATGGTGGTGCAATGTTGTGTTCTTTTCTGCTGCGCTCAATATACAAATTCAAAGATAAAAACGGTATTCGGTCGCTAAACTAGACTTGGTCAATAAATTTGGATCATAACGTCGACTGTGTAGTTAATGAAACTGATATGGAATTCATTGTTCAAGGTCGTCACTTGAAATTTGGTTCAGCACATTTGGTGCTGTCCTTCCACATTTTCCAGTTACACGTTAATTGTTTTAATCTGTTCTCCTCGTGGTATTTTATCTTTTTCTCTGAAGGCACTGATTGCTTTGAAGAAGGGAACACAATTAATCAAGTACAGCAGGAAAGGGAAGCCTAAATTTTGTACATTCAGACTTTCTCCTGTAAGCAATTTACCTTTTTGTTTTTTTAATTGTTTTTTACCATTTACGTGCAGGAACCGTTACGCATTTTTGAATACCACATTCATGCACTATTATATGATCGATTTTTGATAGAAAGTATGAGCATGCTTCTCGCCTTTCCAGGATGAAACAACACTGATTTGGTACTCACGTGGAGCAGAAAGGCATCTGAAGTTATCGTCTGTTCAACGGATTATTCCTGGACAGAGAACAGTGTGTTAGAGAATTTAATTTTTTCAAGGATTGATATGGTATAGTCCATGTTACTTGCAAGCCTCAATGCAATAACCGGAAAGACTGTAACTAAATAAGCGGGAAAAAAATAACTGAAATGTTGCTCCATTATCCTATTTCAGCCTGTTTTTAAGAGATTTTTGCGCCCGGAGAAGGATACCTGTCATTTTCGATGATTTATAATAACGGAGATCGATCTCTCGATTTAGTAAATTTTTTTATTCTTTTCCTTGATATTTAGAATTAACATGATTCTTTTGTAACAAGTTTAGCTTGCTAATTGCATTTTTTTCTTGCTCTTATAGATTTACAAGGACAAAGTTGAATCTGAGGTGTGGCTTGCTGACCTTAAGGCTTTAACATCAACTGGTCAAGCACGTAACAGGCATACGAGAAGTGAAATTTATGATGTAAGTTCCATTCATTTTCTTACTCTGATAATCCAATTATTCTTCATTCCTGTATGTTTCTGCTATCTTTATTTCCCTTCATACTTGATCCCAGATGATATGTTTGTGCTAGCTTTGTGTTCCGTCATGTACTTAAATACCATGTTATGGTGCTATTTTTTTTCAGTCGTATTATTTTTATTCAGTTTCTTGGTGGTTAATGGTTTTTTATCTTTAACGACTACTTACCATGTCAATCATCTGTAAATACTTGGTTTGCTTTAGGCTTTCTGGTGGATTTTCTGAGAAACAGAACACTCTTACTTGGTTTATTAAGATTCTCTACATTATCTTAGTCATTTTGTGGAAGCATGCAGAACAATAAGAAGTGTCCTAAATATGAACTTACAAGTAGTAGCTATCTTTACGACTATGAAGTTACTGCGTGTAATTTTTTCTTCGTCACGCATGCCCTGCAAATAATGTGTAAATTTGAATGCGTCCCACGCTGGTAAAGTCTCAATAACACTGGTCGAGAGTTGGCCCAAATCTAAAACACCTCATCCACTCTTGTCTTTCCTCAGTTACACGGCACCAGCGATAGCATCCCCCAAGAAAACCGCCCGTTTGCTGCATCACTAGAGTTCACATCCAGCCTCCCAAGTGGCAAGTTTGCCGCAGACTACAGCTCCCGCGACTCGAACTGCTCCGTCGGCTCGAGCTCATATGCGGCCTCGGGGCCCGTGTCCCCAAACATGCAACTTAGAACGAGTGGTGCTGATGGCTTCCGGATCAGCGTCTCGAGCACGCCCAGCTGCTCGAGCTAGGGCTCCGGGTCCGATGACATAGAGTCGCTCGGCGACGTCTACCTGTGGGGCGAGATCTGGTCTGATGGGACCCCAGGCCCCGACGGCCCTGTCCCCACCAAGACAGACATCCTCATTCCCCGGCCCCTCGAGACCAACATTGTCCTCGATGTCCACCAGATTGCGTGCGGGGTCCGCCACACTGCACTCGTCACGCGCCAGGGGGAGGTCTTTACCTGGGGGGAGGAGTCGGGCGGAAGGCTTGGACACGGGGTCGAGCGCGACTTCACCCGCCCCCGCCTGGTCGAATCCCTGGCAGTCACCAATGTTGAGTCCGTCTCATGCGGGGAATTCCACACATGTGCACTCTCCTCATCCGGTGACCTCTACACGTGGGGCGATGGGACCCATAATGTTGGCCTCCTCGGCCATGGCAATGACGTCAGCCATTGGATTCCGAAGCGTGTCTCGGGATACCTGGAGGGCCTCCAGGTCCTGTCGATTGCCTGTGGAACCTGGCACTCGGCCCTTGCCACCTCGTCTGGAAAGCTCCTCACATTTGGGGACGGGAAGTTCGGCGCCCTGGGCCACGGGGATCGGGAGAGCGTTGCGTACCCCAAAGAGGTCCAGTCGCTAGTGGTCTCAAGACAGTGGGCGTCTCGTGCGGCATTTGGCACACGGCCGCCATCACCGAGGTGTCTAATGCTGCAGGCCCCATCGTGTCCTCGAGGAAACTCTTCACTTGGGGTGATGGGGACAAGTACCAGCTCGGTCATGGAAGCAAGGACACATACCTCGTCCCAACATGCGTGTCGGGCCTCATCGACTACAACGTCCAGCAGATCGCGTGTGGCGCCAGCATGACTGTCGCGCTCACCAACTCGGGCCATGTCTTCACGATGGGAAGCAACACCTACGGCCAGCTCGGGAATCCCCAGTCGGAGGGAAAGTCTCCCGTCCTGGTACAGGACCGGCTTGTGGGGGAGTTCGTCGAGCAGATCTCTTGCGAGACCCACCATGTGGCCGTCCTCACGCTGAGAAATGAAGTGTTCACATGGGGCCGGGGGACTAATAGGCGGCTGGGCCCCGGGGACGTGGACGACCGCGGGTCCCCCACACTGGTGGAGGCCTTCAAGGACAGACACGTGCGCAACATCGCATGCGGGTCCAACTACACAGTCAGCATATGCATCCACAAGTGGGTCTCGGGGGCTGACCAGTCGGTGTGCACAGCATGCAGGCAGGCTTTCGGTTTCACAAGGAAATGGCACAACTGCTACAACTGTGGACTCGTCCACTGCCATGCATGCAGCTCGAAGAAAGCGATGAAAGCGGCCCTGGCCCCCACACCAGGGAAGCCACAGAGGGTGTGTGATTCGTGTTACTTGAAGCTGAAGAAGGCGTCACAGGTTGGGAGCCAGGCTACCATAAACCGGAGGCAGTCTGCCCACCGTGGGTCTGTGGATTTCGGCAACAGGTCCAACCGGTCCGAAGTGAGGGCCTCACGGGTGCTTCTGTCCCCTACGGTGGAGCCTGTTAAGTATCTTGAGGTCAAGTCGCGGGGCACCAGTGGGCCCAGGTCGGAAGACTACTCCATCGTCTGGGCCTCGCAGGTGCCATCCTTGTTGCAGTTAAAGGACATTGCTTTCCCGAGTTCGCTTAGTGCCCTCCAGTATGCTCTGAAGCCCGTGATCACGTCGGGCCCACAGCAGTTCCAGCAGCCCACGACACCGTACCAGTCGGGCTCTAGGCCCGCATCGCCCTACTCGAGGAGGCCAAGTCCGCCGCGCTCGGCGACCCCTGTTTTGTCGAGGGGCGTTGTCGACACTCGGAAAAAGACGAATGATGTCTTGACGCAAGAGGTTTCCAAACTGCACAACCAATAAGATTTCCAGACTTGTGTGGAGTTGGGTCTCATAATTTGATCTCAGGATCGAGTGCTTGATCATCTTTATGTTGCTTGCTATTTAGATCAAGAGTTTGAAACAGAAAAGTGAGGCTCAAGATGCAGAAATTCACAAGTTGAAGGAAACTGCCGAGGCCGCAAACGCATTGGCCGCGGATAGGTCTTCTGTCTGCGTTAGAGCAATGCGAGCTGTCAAGAGCATCACTGCTCAAGTAATTCAATTGTTGGCATTTTTTATCTATTTTGTTTTGTTTGTTTGGATACATCTTCAGGAGGGGTTTCTCACTGTCAAAATTTTTAAACCAGCAATCATAAACTGGACATTTAGAAGACAAAAATTAGCAGTAATTCCTTTTTTTTTTTAGTTGATGGAAGTTTCGGACAACCTGCCCCCCGTGATATCAGAAAGCAAATCTTTCAAGAACATGCAAGCCCAAGTTGAGTCGCTTCTCGACAAGATCGTGTCCCAAGCACTTGATGATAATTCCACATACCCACCAGAAACATCACACGACCAACAGCAACATAATCATTCGGGAGAAACACTGTCAGCTAGTGAAACAAATCATAGAGAAGATCACAGAGCAGAAGATAGTAGTGCCGATGGGACTTTACAGGAAATGGGAGAAGCATCCGTCTCTCATGCTCAAGGTACAAGTCAATCGAACACAGACAAAGGGTCCGGGACCCCTCAGGGGACACCGGTCGAGGGACTGAGGGAAGTCATCGAGCAATTTGAGCCCGGTGTTTATGTGACTGTCATTCAATTCGCCAATGGCACTAAAGTCTTCAAGCGGGTTAGATTCAGGTACATACCACGCCCTGTGATCACACCTAAGTTCTTTAGAAGCAGCTGACATTTGATTGAATTATATACCAAATACTATTTTTCAAAAAAAAAAAAAAAATAATAATAATAATAATAATTTCCAACTACTATCTACAGGTACTTCCTGCTTCTGATTATCCTCTTTTCGACTATCAGTTTCGCTGCTAATAATTGCTACAGTGATTTACTTTCTTTAAACAGAAGTTACTGCAAATACTTCATTTTCTTTCTTAGAAAATAGCTGTCAATTGGGAATAATGTCAAATGATGTCAAATGACAAAGCATGGGCAGTTTATTTATTTAAAAAAAAAAATTAAGTAGACAAAAATAAAAAAAAA